TCCATACAAATATATTAATATGTATATTATCAGCCTCTCTCTCTCTTTCTCCTCCCTGGTCCCTCTCAGCCTTCTTTCGCTCGTTCGTCCGTATATTTTGCGAATGGATTAGCAAATTCTCAGTGCATAACGTATTACTTTTCTAGGCTGCTACTTTTCCAGGTGTACTTATTCGATAGGAAAATATAGTCTTTGAAGATTCGTAGTACTTTCAACTTTACAATTATGATTTCTTTTAGCTTTTAAGTCGTGATAAATCTAAATAAATTGAGAAGAACTTCCGTAATTATATGAATAAATATATTTTGTTCGTCTATATTCATTCTTTACACTCGATGATCGCCCTACATTTCCATTGTCGACACCCTGTTGTGTACAACTCTTTGATTGTACCTGTTTTTAAACTAAAAAAAAAATAAATAAATAAATAAAGTACGAATCGAATATTCCACAAGCGGCGCAGCGGTCGGAAAAGGTACGCGATGCAAGGCAACGAAACGGAACAGCAGATCTTATAGCTCCGTTACAACCGGCTAGCTGACCGATCCCAACGAGTACGACCGGTGGTACCACACCCGCTCGAGTATTTCGAGCGGAATGATGGAGAGATAAGCGAGTTCGTTAGCTCGCTCGCTCGTCCGCCCGCTTGTTCGCTCTGGTAACTGGTAACGAGCCTCGAAGAGTCGCTGCACTCGTAGACAACGCGCCTTCGGGCCAGATGCTGGTTCTCGCACCGCGCGATTCGGCGCGGCGCGACACGCGATCTTGGCAGCCGCGGCAGCTGCTCATTTTCGACCGATCGACCAAAGTCCCGAGTGCGACCCGAATCGCTCAACGTTGGAAAAAAAGGGAGACTCGAAGGAAATCAAAGATAAAAGCCATTTTATTTCAAAATCATGACGAGCTCGAGGATCGAGACACACCTCGATGTTGTAATACTTGAATTCTTTCTCTTTCTCTCCAAAATTATTTCATGAAAATTTTCAGTAAAGAATATAACAAGAAAATTTCAGTATCTCAATTTTTCTCAATTATTGTTTCTCGATACTAAGCGGTTCAAGTGCAACTCACTCGTCGCAAGAACGTTGGAAAAAAAGGGAGACTCGAAGGAAATCAAAGATAAAAGCCATTTTATTCCAAAGTCATGACGAGCTCGAGGATCGAGACACACCTCGATGTTGTAATACTTGAATTCTTTCTCTTTCTCTCCAAAACTATTTCATGAAAATTTTCAGTAAAGAATATAACAAGAAAATTTCAGTATCCAAATTTTTCTCAATTATTGTTTCTCGATACTAAGCGGTTCAAGTGCAACTCACTCGTCGCAGGAATTTACGGCGGAAATATCGAAGAGTTATTCAAAGTTGCAGGAACATTATTTATTATCGTACAGAATGTAGGATAATATTAAAATAATATTTTTAATTTCGCCCTTATTGTAAATTTTATCAAAGAATTAACGGTTTATCGATATTTCTGTTAAGGAAAAATAAAAAGTAAAATATTTTTTATTCTTCCTTAAACGCAGAAATATCGACAAAATGTTAATTTTTTGATAAAAAAATTTACTAGATTTTAGAAAAAATTTACGCGAAAACTAGAACATTATTCTACGTAATATTATCCTACATTCTGTACAACATAATAAATAATGTTCCCTACAACTTTTATATATATATATATACAGGGTATCCGATAACTAACGGACCATTAAGGGCGGATTCTCTGGCCAATTTTTCCTTAGCAAAAATGTTGAGAAGTCAATAATTTTCGAGTTATAAGCGATTGAAAAAAATGGGTTTTTGAAAACTAAACGTTTTGGAGTTAAAAGTCTAACATAATTACAGTCTTCAGTTAATTTCAGGTAGAGTTTACTATAATAAAATTTTAATTTGAGGTTTAGTTATAAAGATACATAATGACAATTATTGGAAAGCTGTAAAAAATGATGACCTTTTTCGACATTTTTGCTGAGGAAAAATCGTTCCCAAATTGACCAAAGAATCCACTTGTAATCGTTGGTCCGTTAGTTACCGGACACCCTGTATATATATATATATATATATATATATGCATATGCATATTGAAAAGTTGAAGCGAATACACGCAGTCCAATATCCTTTCATAAACTCACCTTGTTAAAAGATTTTGAAATTTATTCCTCGTTATATTCTCAGATTGTCGATTCGTTATTTTTATCAAAGCTGTCACACAGGAATAATGATAATCTTGGCGGCACTTTATTTCTGGTATTACATTAAACATACATATTCACGATACTTATATGTCATTCACACAGTAATTAAGATGATCGTAACAGATCGCTTTTGTTGACCTCTCTGCAGCGAGGTATTAAGACGGTTGAAGAACCGCAAGTTGTCGATAGATCGATTTCTTGTACATATACTGTGTATTTCCGTATATATACGCATATAGGATTTGTTCGACTGAATACAGAACAGAACTTTTGTGTCTATCTAGAGCCATGTAATATTTAAAGTAACGTTCCTGCTTTAATGTAAAAACATGAAAAAGAGAGTCAAATTAAAACTTACAGAAAGAGAGAAAAACAGAGAGGCAGAAAGAGAAAGTAATATTTAAGTAAAAATAAAAAAAAATACTTTCGAGTATATTAGAGAATATTTATATTACAGAGAAATAAATAAATATGTTTGAAATATATTTTTTTTTTTTTATATAAAAGAAAAATAATAATAAGACAGTTCTATGTTTACGCACACCACGTAGGATAAATAAAAATGAGCAGGTTGTGCTCATATATTATCGTAAAAAGTATAAATAAATGATTTCTTTGCGAGAATTCTGTTTTGATATATATCTCAATCAAAAATTCCTTAAAATTAAAATTTACAATTTGCGTATTGCATGATGCATAAGCACACTGTATATCTGTTAAAAAATTGACAATAACATGTGTGTACACATTGCAAATCTATTTAAATTTCAGTTTGTTGCGGAACATTTATTGGCTTGCCGAGATGTTATATACGTGAAAAATATAAATTTTTTATCGAATATAAATTAAGTAACAATATTTATTGGCATTCGTAATAATTCCAATATTTTTGTCGTTTGCTTGTTAAAACTTGAGTTTTTACCCGAAGTATTATAAATAAAGACAAAGAAACTATTTAGGTATTGGACTGCATTTATTCGCTTCAATCTTTCAATATGCGTATATACATGTATATATTATATGAAATTAATATACATATAATCAACGAAATATGATGTTTCTTTACATCTTTACATCCCTATTTGAAATAAATATTTTACGCTTAATATTAGTCTCTCTTTTTGATTACTTGATACGTATGTATGTATACATATGTGTATGAGATATGTAATATTGTTTATAAAAAAATTGCATAAAATACGAGATTACGTATGCTAAAAATTATTTTTTGTAAATAAGCAAGTAATACATTGTTATGATAATTATACGATAAAAGATACTTTGATAAATAAATTTAAAATTTATATATTCAATTATGGTGCAAAATTATAGTACAAAACCTAAACTTGATTGCGCAATCTTTTATTTTTTATGATTTCTTTTATTTCTTTCATCACATATATTCTCAATTGATTAAAGAAAGACAATCATACGGTGGATATATATAGTTTTGTGTTAAATGACAAATAATAATTAATAAATAAATACTTGTACGAAATACAAACATCACATACGAGGCAAACGTTAAGCATGTATATTCAAACTAGTCGCGGTTCTCAACGTCCGACGCTCCCCAACGAGGAGCGATCTTTATCGTTCGAGCCGCGTCGTTTCTTGCGTACTACCCTTGCTACTTTTCTCGTCGATGTTCACATGCGAGATGTTTATCAATCGTTTATCGAGCCCGCAAAACGAGAACGTGGGGTGAAATTAAAAATAATACTTGATGAAATTTGTAAAATATGAAATACCCATATACTTGTAATAATATTTTGGATATTGTTTCGGATAATGCATAATTATTTATAGATATAGGTGCCGTAATTTATACCATTTATATGTATATATATATATAGATAATCTCGCGCGAGAGGTAAAGTTGACCTCTTGATTTGACTTGTAACTTCCCATACAGCACCGATAGATTGCAAAGACATTACAACAATCTTTCACCGCAATATTGCAATATTGCAAATTCACTGCAAAATGTTGCTACATCATTGCTGTTGAATTGCAGCAATGTTAAAATGTCCGCTTTTTGGAAGATTGCAACAAAATATTACAACAATATTGCAATATGTTATGAGTTTGCAATAATGCTTGTTATTGCAACCATAAACTAATGTTGCATATACAGGTATATAAATGTAAATAAATCATTAATGAAAATACGTTGTAGTTCATTTATATATATTACAATATATAAATTATAGAATTTGGATTACATGCAATATTTCCGAAATATTAATGTCATGTTGCTACAAGTGTGCTGGAATTTTGTGCACTTATATCTCTGCAATGTCTTTATAATGTTGCATTGCAACTTGCAACATTGCAACGTTGCTGCAATATAATTGCAATAATCTGTGCTGTATGGGTTGCAAAAGCGGAGGAAATATGATCAGCCTCTAGGTCTGAACTGCCGCGTTTCCATTGTTACGAACAAACGTGGAAAAGTGATTCTCGGCCATCGGCGAATGAAAAATTTGCAACTGCTTTCCGAATATTTGCTACTTACTCGAGTGGAATGTTCGATTCCGGCGTTCTAAGGACGCGATCGGGGATTTCTGCCGAAATGCAGATTCGTGAATGAGCGGAAAGAAAAGAGGCGAAGGTCGGGTCCGCACGGACACGATCGTGTAACGACGTAGCCCGCCTTGGTAGCTCAGGCTCTCTGTTCGACGCGTACGCGCGTATTTTGCGGCCGAGGCTAGCCGAACGCGGTCTCGCGGCCAGCTCGGCCAACAGAGAGAGAAAGAGAGAGCGTGAGAGAGCGAGAGAGAGACCAACACGGCGCGGCGCGGCGGCCTCCATGTGCGTGTGTCTGCGCGCGCCGTGTATGCGCGCGTATGTCGGAGAGCGTACGTCGGTATTATAGTGTACGCGATCGAGTCGGTGCACCTCTCGGCCGTGGGCACAAATCGCGAGTAAAATGGAAGCGGAATTTCGCTCCGAGGTTGAGGTCTGCCGTTGAAAACTGTGAACATGGGAAGGTCCAAGTTTCCCGGGAAGCCGCCAAAGACGGCTACCAGGAAACGGATCAAGGTGCTCGGCCAACCTAAGGCAGCGCAAAACGATCCGGTAACTGTCGCCGAGAACATCTACTACGGACTTTCCCTGTTCAACGAAACATTCGGTGACAACGACAAGGTGAGGAGAAAAGACCAATTGACGCGTCGAGGCATCCCTGTCGGTTTCTGGCGTCGCTGGCCGTTGTTGGCGTTCCCGAGGTCGGCGTCGCGTCGCGTACCCTCGCCACCCGAGCTATCGTTGACGTTCGCCATCCGGCGAAGCGTCACCGAAAACGCATACGGTGGATCCTGGATCCGCGACCTTTACGAGACGACGAATCTCGAGGTCGCGTAACGTGCGAGTTAACCTATCCGAACCGCGGTCGCGGAATGGCAGGTGCAAGACGTCCGCAAATTTCTCCATGATCAATCGTTTACTTCTCACTTTGCCATTGTCTCCCTCGTTCAAGAATCGCGATTCACCGATTTCGACGTATTTATTTATGTGTGGAACCGTTTATCGTTTCTACTGTGCTCCAATTTCTATGGATGTTATATTAGTGGGACATATTTTCTCAATTTTCTTGTTTCATTATTTTTTCATAGTAGAAAGAATGTGAAATTGTCAGTTGTCAGTTGTTAATTGAGAGTGAGATTTTGCAATAAGCAACCTGTCATCTAGAGAAAGTAAATATAACTTAAAAGTCGTTTGTTTACCTTCTCCAGATGAGAGTTTATGTAAATCCCCCTGCACATGCACACACATACACACACGCACACATTTTATATAGGATTAGGTAATTGTCAATTATTATCTGTCATTTCTAATATTTATATAAACATTTTTTCTTTCTAGGAACATCCACCGTTCCATGGATTTAGTACTAAAGAGGCTAACCTTTCTGCATCTTATATAAAAACACAACAACACAATGCAGAAAAAAGCACGGATAAATTATCCTCTGTTACAGTCAAAAATCTTGCATCACAGTCAAATACGAAGAAAGACATTACCGATGTTAAAAATTCTCCTACGGACATTGTAAACAATGACACGGAGAAGCCTGTTGATACAAATTCAAAGCCGCTCCAAGATGTAAAAACAGTTATAACCCTGAATACAACACTACTACTATTACTACTACTACTACTACTGCTGCTGCTGCTGCTGCTGCTACTACTGCTACTACTACTTCTGCTACTACTACTTCTGCTACTAAAGATACTCCAAAAATTAACAGAGCTAAAAATCGTAAGAATTGCAAGAATATCAAGTTTACTAATTATTTGACAAATCCAGTGTTAAAATCAGTAAACAACATCTTGGATCAGCATCAAAGAACTAGACAGTTACGAAACAGTACAGCGAAAAGATTGCTTCAAAGGGCGAAATCTAATGGAAGTAACACACGCAACTTGGTATTGCATTCTGGGGAGAAATCTAGCACAGTAAGAAAATTTATTTTACCCGTTCGCAGTGTGCATTCATCGAGGGTTATTAAACCGAATAAGAGATTTATCGAAGAACTGGAAGAGATTTCTAATACAGAGCACAGCGAGAATGAAATTGGTACACAGGTGAAAAAGGCTAAATTAAATGTGGATAAGCTTAGCAACCGGGAATCAAAAGGAGATGTGGTTAGTAAGTCGTGTACAAAGTTTAAAGATAAAGAGCCAAGAAACAAGGCGAAAAAGGTGATTGAGACTGTAAACGCTTTTGATGCCGAGATTGTATCTCAGCAAGTGAAAGATGCAGAGAAATCGGCAGGTTCTGTTCAAAACGCACAAATATCAAAAATCACTCATAGAGAGGTAAAGAAATCCCACGCTATATCGTATAAGAATAAAATATCAAACGATACATCCGACAACTCTAATAATAATCAGGAATGCTTACAAAATTCGAGTAGAGCGGCACAAACGACAAAATCAACAGTTCCCAGAAATCAGAAACAGATTTCTATTCCTACAAAAGTTCTTCCCGATTCTAATGTTCCAAACTTTGAGTCTTCCAGGGTTCAAACGAGATCAGGAACTCAAAATGAGATAGCGAACGATTTAAATAATCTGACGAGCTTCGAAAGTGGTGCAGGATTATCAGAAGGTGACTGTGCGAAAATCGTAGATGAATCTGAAAATGATAATAAGACTGTGGTTAATGCGTTAAATAATTTTGAGACGGAAAGCAATTTATCCGAAAGCGAAAATGAGCACAGTAATCATTCGGATAACGAGCAATCTGAAATCAGTGGAATGAAACTCAATGGAAAAGTGATATTGAGAAAAGCAAGATTGAAATTGGATAATAAATGCTTGGCTGGAACAGAAGGACCATTTTCAACGTCGAGCACCAGTAATACCGTGGGAGGAAGCACTAACTTAGGTAACAACATATTAGAGCATATGTAATTATAATAGGTTGTACGTATATATTACTATATTAATTTTATTAAAATTGTTTGTGTCCCCCAATTGTAATCATATTATATACTTTCAATGTTTTAGGATTAACAGGAACTATAAAATGTGGTGTTTGTGGCGCGGTGCGATTTTATCGATTTGTGAAACAGGCGCGCAAGTTTGGTATAAACAGTTGCGAATCTTGCCGCAAGTTTATAAGTAAAATGATCAAGCGTCAAGCTTGCGCAAAATCCTCAAACAATGTTCTTCCTATTCTCCAGTGTCATAAAGGCGACGGTCTATGTTTAGTTCCGCCTGTTGTGAGGAGCCAGCAGTGGAATCTCATGAGATGCGTTTATAAAACAAGATGTCCGGCGTGTTGGTTAAAAATGTGTTTGAAATGTTACAACATTCCATTTGCTTTGAGGACAGGTTTAAACGCCTTGTTACCACCATTAATGAGAGACCCTCTAAGTATTTCCTTGCCGCTCGGCCAAGACGAAGACGGTCAGGGACAAAAGTTGGGCTCGTGTAAACTCGCGTATTGGCCTTCGGAAGACAGTTTGGAAAGAAATTTGTTCAAATCTGCGATGGATTGGAGAAATTTCGACATGGGACAGAATGAAACGAATTATCAAAGTACCGGAGGCTTTCTCTATACAAAGATAGACAAATGTAAGAGATTTTTTTTTTTTTTTTTTTTTTTTTTTTTTGCATATTTCGGATATGTTTCGGACATGTTTAATATGAATTTAACAATTTTGTATTTTACAGTTGATTCCTCGATGAGTATATCGCCGAATAAGAAGCGAAGAAAAAATAATAGGATTAAAGTGAGAAGGAAAATTAAAAGTCCAATGCTCGCTTCTTCTACCAATAATCAGTATCCACAGCCTCTTAGGCAAAGGGTCGAATTGAAGGGACCGAGAGTAAAGCACGTTTGTCGAAGCGCCAGTGTCGCTCTTGGACAACCTATTGCAACTTTTCCAAGTGCAGACACGAAAGAAGACAACGAACACGGCAAAAACATTCCAAAATCGGCAAAAGAAACGGAGAAAATAGAGAAGAGAGACGAAGTGATAAAAGAGAAAGAAATGCATAAGCATAATGAAGATAATAATTTAAATCCTAACGTTAATGCGACGCAACAATCTCATTCAAGAAGGGGAAAATCGCAACAGACTGTATCAACATCTCATTTTCCAGTGGTAAAAGAGATAATTCTTTTAAGCATAATAGTATACATAAGTATGTATATATGCAAATTTTTCCAACAAAAATATATTTTTAGACCGATATTTTCGGTTTGGTTATAACAGAAAAAACTTGAAAATATTTAAAGATAGCAAGAAACAAATTAGAAATTATATATTTTATTTGGTGATAAATTAATTAAAGGTTTGATATTTTTGCTGTTTATACATCTTTTTTTAGAAAAAATTGTTATGCATGCTAAAGCTTAATTTAACATTATTTTTATAGCTGTATAAATTATCTGATTAATTTAATTTAGTTTATTTGCGAAATATAAAGCTCATTTTGGTATACAGTGAGTGATATTCAAATTTAAATTCTGCGAAATTATAATAATTTTAATCTATAAATAATATTATTGCAGATGTCTAAGGCAGCTTCAGATACCTTATATACAGTTTCCATAGATTTCTGGGAACAGTACGATCCTTCGGAAGTTGGAGCGAAAGGATTTGCTCTTATCGGTTCAGAATTGTTTCATATACCTGCTATTTGTTATTTATGTGGGAGTGCCGGTAAAGAGCCGGTAAATAAATAATATTAATTGATCGTTATACTAAATAAGTAGTAAGGATATGTGTAATAATTACAAGCAATAGTTTGTTAATATGTGTATATCATCGAAGATATATTCGTAGACATAATGATCATTTTTCCGCAGTTAATTCACTGTCAATGCTGTTGCGAGCCATACCACGCCTTCTGTTTGGAACCCAGTGAATGGAATGCTTGCGCACAGCCAAACTGGTGCTGCCCCCGTTGTACAATATGTCAAGCCTGCCATCTCAGATCCGGTCCGAAATTATCTTGCATCCGTTGTCGTCAGTCGTTTCACCATTCATGTTTGTCCAAGTCTGGTGTTAGCTCGAGATTGTACAGTCCTGATCGACCCTACGTTTGTCAAAGTTGTATCAAGTGCAAGAGCTGTGGTAGCGAAGGCGTCAACGTTCACGTAGGCAATTTACCTCTGTGCTCCATGTGCTTTAAGTTGAGACAGCAAGGCAATTATTGTCCTTTATGTCAGAAATGTTACAACGAAAATGATTTTGACACGAAGGTAAATATACGTATTTATCAATCTAAACATAGCTTAAACTCATATAATAAATTAGCGTAAACTCATATAATAAATTATGTCTTTTATTTCTAATAGTATCCAAGATTATACATATCTAATTTGCATAATACGATTGTACGCCTTCTTTTAGATGATGGAGTGCAGCGAATGTTCTTACTGGGTACATGCTCGTTGTGAAGGCCTTTCGGATGAGCGTTACCAGATACTTAGTTATTTACCCGATTCGATTGAGTTTACGTGCAGTCAATGCTCCTCTAACGTAAACTCTGTCTGGAGAAATGCCATAGAAGCTGAGCTAAAGGCAGGTTTTATCAGCGTCATAAAATCCCTAAGTAAAAATCGCAAGATTTGCATGGCTCTCAAGTGGAGTCCCAGGAAGGAATGTCTCTGCAGGCCGGCTTCGAGTGTGAGAGGATTCGAATTTCCTGGAGAGGACAAGAGTGAGACGAAAGAAAACGAGGAGTCGGAAGAGTGCAACGGTGACAAATCTACGGATACTGACTCGAGCTCGAATACTAATTCTATAAAATCCGATGCGAAGGAACATTCAACGGACGGTTATGGTAGAAAAGGTCTGCGACGATTGCGACAAAAATTTCATCTAAGAGAATGCTCGGTTAGGGTAAAGAATTGCGTTCCAAAAGATTCACAAGACATCGAGAGAAAAGATACGACGGAATCGTTAATCTCCTCAAATATTATGGAATGCCGCTGCTCCGAGCAACAGATCATCGCGAGGCCTTCGGCTACTTTAATGTCGATAAAGCAAAAGGTAAATAGTAACGAGTACAAATCGCTATCGCAATTTCATTACGATATGGAGCATGTAATCAACCGCGCTGATCCGACGGATTTAATGGAGACTTATCATGAAATTTTGCAAGAGGTATTTCCCTGGTTTACTCCAAAAAATTTCAAAAGCAACGATGATAATGACGACGATACATTAACATCTACCAAGGATAATAGCAAAGACTACACTGCTCCTCTCACGACAAGGTTTGAAGATTCTATTCTAAGAGTGTGGAAGGAAGAAGTGACAAAGGTGCCGAAAACGATCGCGGCAAAAACGACGAATTTATATAATATCCATGTCGAAGACAGTAGATCATGTTGTTTGTGCAAGGGTCTGAGCGACGGACAGGAAATAAAGGAGGGCAGATTATTTTATTGCGGACAAAACGAATGGGTGCACGCAAATTGTGCACTATGGTCGAACGAGGTATTTGAGGAGATCGATGGGTCGTTGCAGAACGTTCACAGGGCTATTTCGAGAGGTCGTTTGATCCGTTGCACCGAATGCGGTAAGAAAGGCGCGAGTATCGGATGCTGCGCGAAGAACTGTAGCAACACCTTTCACTTTTCATGCGCGAGAAACATTGGAGTCGCTTTCAACGACGACAAAACAGTATTCTGTATTTCACATTCGAATGATTATGCGCGCAAGTCATTGCAAAACGAGAACGAGTTTAATTTGAAGCGGCCGGTATACGTAGAGTTGGATCGTAAGAAGAAAAAGTACGCAGAACCTAATAAAGTGAAAGTAATGATTGGCTCTCTGATAATTGACTGTCTGGGGACTATCGTTCCCGAATTTTCCGATACAACCGAAAAGATAATACCATGCGACTACAAATGCTCCAGACTTTATTGGTCTACAGTGAATCCTTACAAGATTGTAAGATATTACATCAGGACTTATGTGCAGGTACACATGCCTGATATTACATCCGACATGGAAAATAACATCACCATCGATCATACCAAGAAGCAAGAAAGGGAACAAGTATCGGCGGATGCACAAAGGGTCGACTACTTGGCCGTTAAACAGACCTTAGACACTCTCATCGACATCGTATGCAGTAAAGAAGTTGACGAGAATTTGGCGGAACAAAGCAACACGGATCTTTTACCACCCGAACTGAAGGAGGCCATATTTGAAGATTTACCGCACGATTTATTAGACGGGATCTCCATGCAGGACATTTTTCCAAAAATGTCGTACGAGGATTTTTTAGCTATGGACTTGAAAAATGACGGTACCTTCATCGCGGATCTTTTCAAGGACGATATGTTGCCGTCGGAGATTGAGGAGACGGTAAAACCGTCGGAGAACAAGATCTCCAAAATGGATTCGTCTTTGCTGGAATTAGGGACACACAACGATCTCTGGTTGCGATTGGAGGCGAAGACCGCGGTTCAAGATCTCGTGGACGATCTATTCAACTCGAAGAGTCAGAAACGCGGCGGTAGGGAACTAAAACGATCCAAATCCGAGGTGATGTCGAATAATCCGTTGATTGTTGGCGGCCAGCGGCATCATCAACGCTCCTGTAGTCTTACTTGGAGTTGTAAATTAGACAACACCTATGGTCCTACCATAAAGAGACGAAAGTTGCCCCGAAATCCATCCAGCACGAAGCCGAGTGAAACTGGTCTTATTGTGTTAGATGCTCAAAACGAACGCACGTCCATGTTTCACGAACTGAGGATTCCGGAAAGTATCATGCTCACCGTGGGAAGAGGAAGTACACCTAATATATTATCCGATTCCGTGCGTGAATTGAAGTACTGCATCGAAGATTCTGCTGGACTGAATTACCGCGTGTTGCCAACTAGAGACGAAGGTGCAAAAGAACACAAAAGATTATTTTGGCATTCGAGACAGCAGCAACCGCGAATAGTGCAAGTCGATGGACCGGCTGATGCTAATAGCGCCAGCGAGTGCAGTTCGCCGGAATACAATGCCGAGGAGAAAAATCAATGCGCGGATCTAAATCATGCATCCGAATCGATTCCGCAATTGGATGGCATCAACGACGAACACGCGTCCGAGTGCGAATCGAACGTGAAGGATTTTGATTTATATGCGCGATCTCCAAATTTTTTACACTCGAAACGTATTCTCGGCTTCATTAGATCGCATGTCTCCAGTAATGTCGGCGATAAGTTTCAAAAGGTGAGGAGCAACAGTGGAAATCACGTGGTTGCTCCTAGCAGATACAACACTTTGCAGTACGAGGCAGGAACTCTGTTCAAGGAGAAGAATCTCAAATTGAATCTGCAAATTCCTCAAGTGGATGGCGCGGGCGACATCTCGAGCGACGACGAATGCGTTTCGTCGCAGCACGTCTCTGCTGCAAGAATGATTCATACCCCGTATGAATCACCGCCATTCGAGCACCATATCGATCGACCTGTCACCTGCAAAAGATGCTGCTGCACGTATCGCACTCAGGATAGTTACAACAGACATTTAACCAACTGTGACATCGTGATTACTAGCGACAGCGATTCCGACACCGTGGACAATAAGGCATCGCCAGAGTCAAGATTCTCGCCGAGCATGGGCTCGCCGTTTATCACGCTTTCGCCATCCGAAGGTCACACTCTGACGACCGATTACACGGACATCCAGGCGACGTCACCCATCGAGGCGTCTGTGCCGTCACCTCGTCCGAGCATCCAGATCGAACCGATCGCTCAGGCGATCATTACGCCGCAGATCCATACGGCACACGCCACGGTCGAGACCGTGCATCAGACAGTATTAACGTCCAATGACGTGATTGTGCAGACTCAGTACACTCGCAGAACTACCACCTTGCCGAATGCAACAGTATTACCTCCTCAGGAAAGCACGGTGCAAATAACGGAGATTACAGATCCACCATCCATCTCCGGCGATTCTAATGTTACCGTGCACGGTATGGTAAACACGCCAATGAGTTCGCCGGACAGTACGAGTTCGCAGACTGTTCCCAGTCCGGAGATATCACCTAACTTGTCATCCATGGCCGTCCACACCGCTCACGAATCCGCACAAGCGAACACGCAGGCAATTTCTCGACTTTCCTCCAAATCGAGAAATCCACGGATAACCAAGCCCAGGACTAAAAATATCAAGTCGCAACAGCAACAGCAGCAACAACAGCAACAGCAGCATATCTTGAAGAACGTTATGCAAGCGCAGCACAATGTCGCGCACAGATTTCAACCGACGACAATGCAGAGCAGTCACCCACCAGCGGTCATCCAGCTGCAACAGACCGCCCAAAGGCCAACGGTAATTCTTCAACAAGTGGCACCACCGGGAATCATGTCCGCTTACGTAGAAACGCTGCAACAGCAGTCGGGCCAAAACTTGCAGTACATCACGACGATTGGCGGTGGACAGCACGAGGCCAGCTTTAAACCGCAATTAATTGCTACGAATTCTCTGTTACCGAGCACCACCTATATTCAGGCGCCATCCGCTGACAATCTATTGACGCTGCAAAATGGCGGTATATCGATACTGCCGAGCGTGCAAATCGCACCGACACAGCCCACAGTGCTGGGAACTATCATACAGCAACAACCTAGCGCGATCCAGTGCGGCGTTATATCATCGGAACAGTTGTTGCTGAGTTCTACGCCCACGCTGGAAATGTTCACCGATCCAACCGGCGGTATGTTTGTGTCGAATCAACCGATGTACTATGGTTTAGAAACAATTGTCAGCAATACGGTAATGTCATCTAGCCAGTTTATGGCAGGCGCGGTACCACAAGTGTTGGCTAGCAGTTACCAAACAACAACTCAGGTGTTTCAAGCGTCCAAACTGATGGAGCCTATCGTGGATGTGCAAGCTGTACCTACGGTAACGACGGTGCAAGCTGTACAAAATGTATCAGGCGTTCCAAACGTGTCCGGCGTGCCTAACATTGCCGGCGTACCAAACGTTGCAAGTGTGCAGGGCGTAAGTGGTATATCGGCGGTGCCTAACAGTTACGTAGTAGTGAATCAACAAGCACCGCCACCAGTACCAGCATCGTTACCACCACCTCTGGTGCCGGCATCGTTACCACCGCCGCCACCACCACCACCCCCGCCACCACCATTACCACCACCACCATCGCTACCACCATCGCTACCACCAGCACCACCATCACCACCACCACCACCACCACCACCACCACCACCACCACCATCACTACCACCATCATCATTAATACCGGTACCGCCAATATCGGTGCTGACACCAGCAACAGTTTCAACCCCAGCTTCGATATCGTCACCACAGGTAAAAGCGATTGCGACACTGCCACAAATCAACATATCCGTCGCGACTCAAGAACGAGCATTCAATGGCGTCACACCATGCAATGCCGTATCACCGATATCGTGTCAAAACGCGGCCATTGAACAATCGATGACAACGGTTCAAGTAGCGGATGTGTGTCCGCTGAACGTACAGACTACCATCGTCGCTGCGACGTCGCCCGCGAAATTGTCACCTCCAGTGCTGTCACATACGATGTCGACGATACCTCGCGTTGCGGTACGACCCAATCCGGTCGCGCAAGTAAATCACGGATCCGCTTGGAAAATCACCGAGCATATGTTTGAGCAACCGATGAGTAACAGCGTGCGACCGTACTTTGATTCGAAACACGTGTCAGAGAATACCAGCATGATCAAGTCGAGCATATCATCGTCCAAGATACCGCCTCTACCGAATCATTATATTATCGCGCAAAGAAATACAATTGTAAATAATAAGCCAAATTACGATATAAATAATGTTCATAAGAGCTGCGGTACCGTTGTACCGAGTACCAACTGCATCGTGAACGGGAACGTAAACAGTAACAACTCGATAGTAAACGTTAACTCTATGCAGAACAAGATATCGATGCCAACGAGCAATAGCATGCCGACCAGTCGACCAATGAACAGAGTACTGCCGATGCAAGCGGTCACGCCGAAGCAGGATCCGGTCAAGAAGGACAATTTGGCAATTGAAGAACCCACGAAACCAGTATTCAAGCCAGCCGAGCCAGAAATTGCAGAATCGAAGAAGGAAATTATCGAGGAGATTACACCGATCAAAGAATCTGAGGGTACGCTCAACATCAAAGACGGTATCAAACTGAACACGGAGACTTTAGAAAAGGTAAAAGAGAATCTCAAACTGGAGCTCGACAAGGAGAAGCTGCAAAATACGTCGTTGAAGATAGTGCTACAGAAACAGCTGCAAGATGGTTCTTACAAGATCACACGCAACATGAAGGCGGCAGTCAGTCAGAGCAAGAAAGTATCACCGCAAGTGACATCTGTGGAGATATTACCGTCGAAGCAGGTGCCTCAGATCGCGTCGCTGCAATTACTACCGATCAAAACATTCACGCTCAAAACGAATAAAGTCGACGATAAGATAAAGCCCAAGATTGACGCAAAGATGAACCTACTCAAGGCGAAGACGCCACCTATCGCTGTGAAAAAACCTAGAATAGTGACCAAGTCAATCAGACCGGTGCGAAATAATCTGCAGCAGAATTTGCAAAATCAAAAGAATTTCGCCAAGGGACCGATCTTAATGTACGAAATCAAGTCTCAGGATGGCTTCACCCATACCGCCTCGTCCATGGCCGAAGTCTGGGAGACGGTGTATCAGGCAGTACAAAACGCTCGAAAAGCTCACAACTTGCCCCCGCTGCCTCACAATTCCTTGTCCGAGGGTCTCGGTTTGGAGAACAACGCGACTGTTTACCTAGTTGAACAATTGCCGGGAGTCAACCGATGTAGCAAATACAAACCCAAGTTTCACATCCCACCGCCGCCGAAATCTGGCGAGATAGAAAACGAATTGCCAGCAGCTTGCGACAATGGGGCAGTTCGAGCGGAACCGTTCAAGGGCCGGAAAGTGCACGATATGTTCAGTTGGTTGGCATCGCAGCACAGGCAACAGCCGAAAATGATTGCTATATCGGAGGCAGAGTCCAGGTAAAATTCTTTGAGAATTATACTATAGATTAACATTGAAAATTATACATTATATTATATTGTTATATATTGAATATCATTCTTTTTCAGACGAGTAGCGAGTACAAATTTGCCCATGGCAATGCGTTTTAGAATACTTAAGGAAACGTCAAAAAAATCTGTCGGAGTATACCATTCTCACATACATGGTAGAGGATTATTTTGTTTGAGAGATATCGAGGCTGGCGAAATGGTCATTGAATATGCTGGTGAGGTAAGGATGAAAAAAAATACACATTTTGATATTTAATATCAAAATCAGTAAATTACCAGGTTATTAATTAATATCGAAATTATTAATAATTCTCAGGTTATTCGATCTTCCTTAACGGACAAGAGAGAAAAGTACTATGACAGTAAAAACATAGGTTGTTACATGTTTAAAATCGACGATCATCTAGTTGTTGATGCCACTATGAAAGGGAACGCAGCTAGGTTATTAATCATTCGTGCGAGGTACGGTTTCTTTCTTTTAATTTTCGCCAAGAATTGGGCTGATAATTAATATAAGAAAAAATGTTTATCAATATTTCATTAATTTTATATAATTATAAGAATTATATTGACATAACAGAGAGTCTCCCTATATATATATATATATATATACGATTTATAGACATTAAAATTCTCGCGATAACAATAAATATGTATTAATTGTGTTGTATATTACAGCCAAACTGTTACTCGCGAGTAGTGGATATTCTCGGAAAGAAACATATACTGATCTTTGCTCTTCGTCGCATCATTCAAGGGGAAGAATTGACGTACGACTACAAATTCCCATTTGAGGACATCAAAATCCCGTGTACTTGCGGTTCTCGCAGATGTCGCAAATACCTCAATTGAGACTGCGTATACAGCTTATTCTAAGCAGCAGACCGATGACAGAGATGCAAAATATGTGCTATAATTGCGGGCGCGTGTATGCACGTTTTCGAATAGGATTCGTTTTTATTGAATGTTGTTCATTTTACTCATCATCAAACTATTTTCAGAGATTGCAGCTTTTTATTACTATATAAAAGAATACATAGATTACATATACACTCTAAATATTAGAAGGCCAGATATAATATACACGAAGCACACAGTGGTTACGATAATGTTATTTTAGACAGCTACGTTTTCGTGTAGTTGATTTTTTTTCTTAATGGGGTATATATTATATATAATATATACACATATATATATATACACACACATATGTATGTGTGCATATGTATGTATGTATATATATATGTATATATATATACACGTATATCTATAGCAATAAACTATTCGAATATGCCCCGCTTTCGTATCCGACAAAGTCGTGCGTGTACTAATGCGCTTCAGACTTTTGAAAGTGTTATTTTATTCACGCCTGTGTGTGCTTTCTCGCGCACGACTTTTAGATTCTACCTATTATCTACTATTGAGGCTTAAGTGTACAAGTTATCTTACACTTTACACTAAATGCGACTGCTTCTTAGTTTGCATAATTTGTATACATCTTGTACGAGACAAATGTCTCTCTCGATGGTTTAATGGAATTGAAAAATTCTTTCCCTGACGACGAACATATCGCAAAGATAAAAAAACAGATTGTGGCGAGCACGAAGGAAAAGCAGTAAATTTTCGAGCATTACAGCTTTTATAGATTGAATTATCTTTTCTTTTCCTCGAGATTAACGTGATATAAACGTAGTGTACAAACAATCTTATCAAGTACGTAGATAAAATCTGCGGCAATTGTATATTTTAATAATTTGTAAATTTTTTTTAATTTAGTGTACAGTGTACGACTAACTTTGTGACATTTCATGTCCGCTGTAGGGCCAGATTTCAAATGTTTTTGTAAAATATGTAATTGTTAGACTAGATATATCGTCTTTGATGTAAGTATAGCAAACCAGTTTTAACTTAAGTTAGGAATGTAGGCATTAAGGAGAGAGATACAGAATGGCAAGCGAGAACAGTCTCCTATAACTAGGATATTGTTCGAAGGTGTACCTACTTTGGCAGATATTGATATAATTTTATGCTTTATTATTTCTATGGCGATATAATTCGCGAAAAAGAAAAAAAATATCCTTTTTGCTAAGATTAATTTCAATAGAATTCGACACACATACACACACAGCACTCTTGTTTATATATATACACATTTTTAGATATTGCATCTATATATTTGTGCTTCCGCTTTGCCAAAATCACAATCATTGATTTTATCATCCGAATTCTAAGAGCCGGTCCAAACGGCACATCTATATTAACAGAGATATTACATTTTATTTGACAAATATCTTTGATATAGAAACGATATATACAAAGATATTTTTTAAAAGAATTTCTGTCGAAAAGTTGATTTACTCGTTCAGTTTAACGAAGATTACGCATTGTTTGCGATAAACGCCTCCGGAAATGCTACCGGTGAATGTTTGTGATACTTTTTCATAATAGAAAATATCGAGATGCTTTTATATAGGAGAATATATACACACATTTTACTCTTTTATGAATACATACACATTACATATATACATATATTTATACGTTTGCATGTATATATATGTATATATATATATATATATATATGTGTAGTCTGTATCAATACTCTTTTATAAAGTCCAGTTTTGCCTTACTTTTGGTACTGGTGTACCTATGCTTTAATACCGGTGATAGTTATACATATATATATTTATGCGAAAATGATATTTTATATTGGACTAACAATCCCTGCAATGTTCTAGAAACAACTTTACGATCATATAACGTGAATAATCAATTTCTGCCGAGGTGGTTGTCCCTTAAATTTTGGTGCTCTATGGACACCGTTAAGTGCACTTTTCATGAAAAAAAATGGCCTAGAGTAAGAGATAGTAGATTGCAGTGCGGAAGTGTTTGATAATAATAAGAAATGCGTTATACGAAGAATATTGAGCGCGAATTATTTAAAGAGGTAATATAAATGGAAATGAAAACGAGATGGCAGAAGCATTATTTGAGTACGCGAATCGTCAGACGTGCTACGATTTTAATCGGCCTGGTTTGGTACAAAGCGCGTATGCTGAGTTGTAAAAAGTTATAAAAATGAGGGAAAACGGAAACTTGTTCTGGTCACGTGAAATTGCCATTTTTTTAAGTATTTTGCGATTTTTTTATTATACTATAATTACCAATAATTTTAATAACTATTGGAAGATGAATATTGTTAATATAATGATAATTAATTTTAATCTGTATATGAAAAAGAGAGTAATACGACTAGTAAGAAAGATAACTTACTTGAAAATATAACAATGTTAGATATTTTATTGATATTTATTGATTATAAATGACGGTATTAGGGTTGACGAAAAAAAAAATACTAACTGAACGATTTACGATAAATAGTACTCACTATATTGACATAGACACAAAGATCAAGTTTTCTTTAGCTAACATGTAAATTTTAATTCTTACGTTATGCTACAGATATCAAAAGTATTTTGGGCTTTACAAAATGTATAAATATGCATATTGTGTAACCCGACTTTATATCGTTACGTATTATGATTGTAATCTGTAGGCTATCTATGCAATTTCAATTTTTTACATTCACAAATAGAGATTCTTAAATTCTCAGTACATTGTTTCATTATCTGTATTACCGTTTTTGTAAAATGATTTACTGTGGCAACAGAAAAAGTATGTTTGAACGTGTGTGTTTATTAGCGGGACACGAAAAGCGAACGAGAAAAATAATTCTATCTATCTCCCTGAGATAATCTTTGCTTAATGAATTCGGACAAGTATCTAAAAGATGCTTTCTGGAACAACACTTTATCTATGTCTTTTTAAACTACTCCTTAAAACTACTATGATAAGAGAGCGAGAGAGAGAGAAAGAGAGAGAGAGCGAATGCACACGAGTCTCCTCATAATTATCTAGACTTTATTATTACTAATATTATTTTATTATATATATATATATATATATATATATATAATTATATTAATTATAATCTACATACACACACATTATAAAAGGAAAAAAGAAAAAAGAGAGAAAGCATAATACATCACTATTCAAGTCACTCGTATATTTGGGCACATTGAGCACCGTTTGTTCACTACATCCATCAGCACCTTTCAAAAAATAACGTTGCGTGTAAAAACGAAGAACATCCGAAAAACGATACGATGAATAAACGTATAGAGAGTTTAACAATAGTAAAGAAAATACTAATGTATAGATGTAATAGGTAGATTGTTTCTCTCCGACTTTTACGCATGTTTCACTTTTCGACAGACGAACTCGCTCCGAACAATGATTCGAATAGATCTTACGTCTCGGTGTTGCGTTAAAATCGAGTAAGTAAATTATTTCACGGAAATATGACGATTACGTGACGCGTATTTCAGCGTATCGTCACATATTGATTACGACCGACTTCGCAACCGGCGATTTCGTCTCTCTGTGTGCTTTTTAGATCTCTTTAGAAGAGAGAAAAAAAGAAAAAGATTTAAATTATTCTTACAATTTAAGAAATTTAAAACAAAAAGAGAGAAAAACTTTCAAAGGAATGTAAAACGCTTCTTAAGATGTGTATAAAACTCCTATTCTAACGTTTAAACAAAGTGTAGAGTTTTGAAATATTGTAATTGTTTAAAAGAGAAAAGAAAGAAGAGATAAATGACACAATTATTGATAAAAAAAAAAAAAACTCGACGACGGTATGAAAGAGAAAAAAAATTGAAAAAATTGTCTGTGATTATCAGTCATAATAATCTTTAGGTCGACATATTTTTTAGAGAATATTTTTTAGGAAATTACAAAATTTATGATATATCCCTATTATTGATATGATATTGGATCAGATACGCTACGCGCGCATAATAATATTAAAAGTAAAATTGAGGAAAAAAAAGATGAACTGTAAAAGTTGCAAACTGTTTAAATAGAGTTAAAAATAATAGTTGAGATTCGATGGCTGTTGTGTAAAATATTCAGTGTTTGGACAAATAATTATTAAAAACTATTTATAACTAATATCGAAGTACGGTAATATTATTATATCGCATATTATACAGTAGCGTTTTTATCCCTTCTTGTGTTTGCGTATTTATGATGGACATAAGTAGAGGGAGAATTTCGATAAATAGGCCCAAAACTGAGTTTCTCGCAATTAATGCGACGAATGAACGAACGAAGTTGCGGAATCGAATCGAGCAAACAATAGGAGGGACAGGGGGCATTTGCCACACGTTTTTTGCGTGTAAATTGTCGTTATCGATGCATCTACTTATCGTAGACAACTTGTCAAGTTTAGTCGTAATATCTGCATTAACCAGAAAAAGATACCGCATAGAAAACACATAGCCGCTTTCATCACAGACACACACAGACATACATACACTATACAAATATACAGCAGAGATATTCCCATGTTTTGTAATTAAATGTTTTGTTAGTATATTATACGAGAAATTAACAAAATAAAAACACAAGTGGAAATATGAAAGAAACGTGTATGTTGTACATTTTGCCATACACGCAACGTATATTTCCTTTTCATTTTTATATATAACCGTCTCGACAAACATATATCGAGCAATCGATATATATTTTCAGTTTCTTCTTTTAATCTCGCATGTGTGGTAACGCGTAAATTAAAATTGCAATCGCGTACGTAAATAAGAATTTGTGTGTCGAGCGAAATGTCAATTCCTTTATAACACGACAGGCTTCTTATAAATGTACGCAAATGGAGGCAAATGTAACCGCACACACGCGTTAGTCATTTAATGACTATTAAATTATCACGTAGAGACTCTGTTTTAGGATCAGAGACAAGTTTTTCCGCTTTTTAACGTTTATTCTCGTTTGGAATATTTTTTTAAATTATTTCTCTGTTTGCATTAAATCTCTTGATTTTTTTAGCAAAACTAGTATTATTGTTTAAAAAAATAGAACATGGTAGAATTTTAATTAATCATTGAGACGTAGCGAAAAGTCAGTGTTTAGCAAATCGCCTGCGTTAGATGAAAA